CTTTTAACTGATTTCTTCTACTCTTCTTTTATTATATTTTGTTTTATATTTTATTTTATTTATTTATTTTTATTTATGTTTTAATGTCTAATGTTCTTAATGATCTACTTTTAAATCCTTATGCATTTAATTAACTCTTTATTTTTTTTCTTTAAATTTTCTAAATCATTAAATTTTTTATGCGTTTTATCATTATTCTATCTTATGCTTGTTTTTGTCCCATTGTCTTTTAGTCTTTTAGTTTTTAGCTCCAGTGTTTCCTCATGGGGGGCCTCCACACTGGGAGGTGTGTCTGGTCTGCCCGCGGGGACGTCGTCCTGGATATCCCTCGGGCCCGGAGGACTGGGGGGCTCTGCACCTTGTGTGGAGTTCACCCCGGTTTATCTGGGTTGTGTTGCATGTTTATGTATGAAAAGCGCTATATAAATAAAGTTTGATTTGATTTGATTACAGTGAATTAATCATTACATTTAACAGGGTTGCAGTAACAGTTTAACTAAGATTAACAATAGCCTGAGCAGAGGAAGCATGTGTCCCTGTACCTGTAGGGCACCAGACCGCAAATATTTATTCGCATTTTGCCATCATGGAGCACCAGCGGGACTTGCAAAACTATTAATATATGAGCTTGAGAGCTGTTAGTGTGTTTCCAGCCCACAGTGAATAAATGATCAAATTTAAATACGCAGCGGCAACAGTTTAACTTTGACCAGAAGCTTCAAGTTCCCAGCAAAAACATCAACACTTCAGCCAAGATGAGCCAGGTGCTTCAAAATCAAAACACCAGGGGTTCTGCTTTGATTTATTTAATTATAACATACTTAAACTTTGTTATAACAGTGTTTTACTTAATTTTATTATGATACTATATTTAACTTCATTGTAACTGTAGTTCATTTAATAATTTTGTATTTTAGTAGTCCACAGTACGTTAGAGGAGATTTCAAAATATCGTTATATATTGTGTTTCGCAGTATACCCAAAAATTATTGTGATATTTTTAAGCCATGTTGCCCAGCCCTACTTGGGTGTTTTCAAAAGAAAAGTGTAGTGACTGGGTACAGCACTGCTTCAGTTTGTGACCTGTTTGGCTGGGACTTGTGTAACGATACTTAGCTTGTAATATGAGGGTAAACTGAAAGTAGTGTATGCTGAAAGGAATGGGTCCTCTTATACAAGCCAAGCTCACAACAAAAAACAGAGGTGAAGACATGCTTAGACCTACTGCTGCAGGTGACTCAGTCTGTGATTCACAACTGCCTCTCTTCTTTTCTGCCTCTCTGCTTTTCTGCCTCTGAAGGAAGCTTTGTCCTTTGATTGTGTAATAGGTGATGGCGTTTCGAGTGGTTATGTTGACGTCATTTCAGACCACTACTTGTCTCAAACTTTGGGGTTGAGAAATCTGTTTTAGCTTGCAGTTGTAAAGCGCAGGCCCCATTCAGTCCACTTCCCCTGCAGTAAGTTCTTCATTTCAGAGATAGTGACGTCTCAGGAATGTTGAACACTAACAGGCTGGCTTTGTTGCGTGTACTTGTCCTGAACCACAGGCCCCACAACTCTGAGAAGAGGAGGAGCTACAAACTACAAACATTCTCTGTACAACATATTGCATCTGCTGGCTTGCACCTCCCACAGTATGCAGCTACAGTAGCATTCTTGGCTGCTTAAATGCCTTGCATCATGTCATCTTTATCATGTTTGCTGTGTCTGCGCTATGAATTTCAAAATGACACTTCAGAGTCAGGTTTCTGTGTTCAAGTCTTTTATGTTTATTAACATGCACATACATGACACAGGATTTCATTTCAAACAATTAAAAAAAAGGCTTCTAGTGTTTGAACCAGTGTAGAGGGATGTGTCTGAACATGTTTCCCCAGAAAACACACACACACACACACACACACACACAGCACTCAGCACTCACTAACTGTCAGTGTAGTAACAATGGGCAGGGCTGTATTCCAGAGAAAAACCTGTCCAGACAAATCACATAAATCAGTTGACTGATTGATCAGCCAAGCACTAAACTTATGCTGAAACTAAAGTAGAGTAGAACAGCCCTTCAGAGAGAGAACATAAGGTAAATAACTAAAAAAAAGGCATGGGATCTGAGGCAAGAGGCCATGAGTAAAAATAGTATGTGGTCTCTACATTTAACAATTAAATAGATAGTGTGTTAGAAAATGAAACAGAGGCCTTTTTAAAAAGTCCCAGTGGTCTACATAATGTAGCCCTTTGATACATAGCTCCAGTTTTGCCATTTCATAGTCATCATGACCTTTATTTTAAAACTTTGAGAATTAGGGATGCGCAGTAATATTGGCACATCATCGTATTGACCAATATTGGCTTTCAAATGAAATATCGGACTCAGCCAACATGCCTATTTTCTGCCAATATGACCAAGCAATATATCTTTTTTTTTTTTTTTTTTTAAGAAAAAGAGAGCTGACTGGTTGCTCTGATCAAAACCTGTTAGATGCTCATGGAGAACAGGAAACAACAAGATACACAGAAAGGCAATCCAGGCACTCCAAAAAAATAGAAAATGAGCAAAGAAGTATTAAATAACCTTTATTGCAGTGGCTAAATCTGCAAAAATCAAAGAGCCAACATGTATCGACGACTGCAGGTCTTTGTCAGGGCTTAAGCACTGACACTGTGAAGGTGAATGGAATTAGTGGTGTACTAAGTTACTACTCAGACAAGTATGGGTTTGGGTAGCCAGCCAGCAGCAGATTAATGTCAGTTAATTTAATTGCATAAATGATATGCAGCAGAACTGCTTTGTTTTTCTGCATCATCCATGTTGCACAGCTACATATTTTATTTTACAGACTTCTCTTCAGCATTATTTGAATAGCTCTGTATAGATTATTCATGTCGGCTTTAAAGTGAGTCATGGCCATAATTTTGTGCCCCGTCCAGGGGAGTGCTGCTCAGCCCACCCAGGTGACCTCATACGACGATGCTCCATTGGTGCTGCCGTTAGCCTACATTATTGAACTCCTGCCAGTATGAGACCGCTTGTGTGTGTGTGTGTGTGTGTGTGTGTGTGTGTGTGTGTGTGTGAGAAATGGGATTATATAACCTAGTGTCCAGTTGCTGTGTTTATGTGGAGGGAACTGGACCCCATCATCACCATATTTAGGAAGAAAGCAGCTGAAGCACTTGTTTGTCAGAGCCTATTCTCAGGTTAGGCTAAGCCTCCTGTCTGATGAAAATGTAATTATAGCTGTGAAGACACATGCAAGCAAATCCATGAAAGAGCAGCAGGGTACATGCAGTGTACACTGCTGGCTTCTCTTCCTTGTTGGCTGCCTGTGCTGTGTTAACAACCCCTAAATCACCAACCACACAGGTGATTACAGATTATTGTTATTATATATTTTATCTGTGGTGAGCAGCTTATGTGTTCACTGTGAGTCAAATCATTTGTTATCTTCATACCAAATTGGTAACCATCAATATGTACACTGGACTTTGAGCTGACAGCACTACTTTTTGACTTGTTCACACTACATACTGTTACATTAGACAAATCGTTGCCACAGTGCACATGTACTAGAGCTGCACAACATATTAAACATTTACCTTCATCGTGATATCAACATGTACAACATGGGTATTGCAAAATACTGCTTGAACTGTGATATATAGTATATTTGTATGTGCCATACATTCACATACAGCATGTGGTGTTGAAACAGTTGCATCAGGTGAGTTTTACTAGTTTGGAAAGTATTTCTCATTTCACAGAAACCACTGACAGTGAAACTTGTGTTTTGTATGTTATCATCATACTATCTGTAATGTGTTGGTGTTTTTTTTTTTCTTGTGCTCTGCACGGACCTGACACCTGTCCGCCCTATGAACCTTTTCTCATCCCCGACTCTCTGAAGCTCTGTGTGCTGGCAATTCCTGGTAAAGGCGGCGGGGTGGCACATAGGTCCGTGGGGACCACTGGTAGACAATAATCTTGTATTATAAAATACACGCAAATTCACAAATTATGTAGGATATTACAACAGACATTCCTGTTATATTACATCTGCTGTGACAGCAGATCCTGTATTCATTCATGTCAGTGATGATCGTGCTTTACTGTCCTGGGGACGTGCCATGTTGACAAGGAAATCAGAACTCTTCTTAGAATGACAGAGAATCAGAATATTTCTCAAAATGTTAAACTAGCAAATTTATAGTGATTTATTAACCTTTTTAATGGATTATCCATAGAAATTGTATATCTGTGGGATTATCACAAATCAAAATCACATATCACATCTGATTTAGCCTACATTATACCGGGGAGATGATTTTGGTGCTTTCTATAACCTCAGCTCAAGATGTGACATTTCTATCATGTTTTGTACATGGCTGTATATAATGCAATTCAACGCTGAGGAAAGCCAAGTGCTGAAACACGTCCGTTTTTGATACTGCTGTGCGTTATTAAAAGACTGATATATATGATATTTGTGAATGCTGACATTTGGATTTATTCTGTATATAATGATACATACACAGTCTGGTTTTGTAAATAAAGTTTTCAGATTTGGTATTTTATTTATTTAGATACATTTTTAACATATATGAATATAACCATAATTAGAACTATAGAACGTCAAACACCAGTTTAACACGACAGTTTGTCAAAAAAACACTATGTTATAGTGGATCCACTCAAATAAGCACCTGTGGGTCCGTACATTGAAAACCTATCAACATCACTGCATTTCAATTATTTTTTCAGTGTGCAGAGGGTATTCATTGTCTGGGGTCTATGTTAGCAGTGCAGACCTAACGCACAAAGACACTAAAACTATATACTTGAATATTTATCACAAGTCATATCGTCATCACAGTATTCAACAATGTTATCGTATATCGCATGTTTTCCTCATATCATGCAGCCCTAATGTGCACGTAATGGGCAAATGATGTGATGTGTTCCATGCAGCTCACTTCTCTCTCTGTCTCTCTCTCTGTTTGTCTAGGTACTGATATCTCAGTGGGAGAGGAGGTAGCCATCAAGTTGGAATGTGTGAAGACCAAACACCCACAGCTCCACATAGAGAGCAAAATCTACAAGATGATGCAGGGTGGAGGTACTCTATACTAGAACACATGATGTACACACACATCCGTCATGCTGTGAAGTATTGCTTGGGCTTTTATGAGCTAAGTACTCTGCAACACTGTTTATCAGCACTTAAAAATATAAGCCATCCATCACTGCACATCATTAGCTGTATACAAGGTGATCGATCAAATAGTGTTTATTGAGTTAACCAGAAGTAGTAAAGTGTGTGTGAGTGTGAGTGTGTTCAGCACATGTTAAGGAAGGATCTTAAAAGGTGTATCTGTGAATGTTCTGCCAGCTCAGCAGTGTCATGAAACCACAGTGGTGTGCTTCCACCAAGTTTTCAAACTAGTTCTGGCCAAATTTCTGTCTTCCTTGCAAACTTTGTACTCGACTGTGTGTACAGGGCACAGTTTGTATATGCAAGCACGACTGTGCACACACATGCATTTGTATTTTTGTTCCAGTATGGTAGGATTTATAGGGGCATGGTGGCTGACCCAGGATGTATTTGCGTTTGTATGCATATAAATAGCTGATGCTGTGTGTGTGTGTGTGTGTGTGTGTGTGTGTGTGTGTGTGTGTGTGTGTACACTTGTGCATGCAGTGATAGGTGCTGACCTGCAGCATTTTGTTGCTGTCTGCCTGTAGAAGGAAATACCAGATGGCGTCTTCCCCTTTGCAATGTCAGCCACTTACCAGCTACTACTAAAGCAGCTGGCCTCCACCACTGCCTCCCTCGGGAGGTGGGGTTAGGGTTAGGGTTAGTCCATTATTTGAAAACATTTTATCCTGGTCAGAGTTATGGAGATTTTCTAATCCCTTTTTCTGATCCATAAAAGATCAGGATTACAGAGTCTTGATTTGCAGTCTTTGGATATTTGTCTGTTGGTCAATATAAAACATTTAATTAACAGTGGGGGGGGGCATCCAAACAGCACAGTTTCACAATATTTTGCTTGTGTTGATGTACGGACACCAAGTTCCCACACCAATTTCTTTGTGATATAGATTATTAATATTAAAAAATACAAGAAGAACTTTTGGTATTCTACGATAATGAAAATCCATAGCTTTCTTCAGTTCACTAGACACAGTTTGCTGCAATAAAAATGACTTAAGTGAAATGAAAAGACTGAAAACTTAATCTGATTAGATAAAACAGATGTTGAAAAAAGTTTTCCTTCAAGGACATAATTTGCAGTTGAAAAAAGGTAATAAATCACAATGTATGTTTTTGCTATATTCAGCATATAACAGCCCATTTAAAATCGCAATAATTGTGTCTTAAGTATAGTATAATACCATATATGGTGGGCCTCTGGAGATTCCCACCCCTAATTAACACAGGCGTTAAAAAGTTGGGAAGTGTTTATCAGTTTGCATGTTATTCATATTTACTTATCTGTTTCTGTATGAGTATGTAATAAGCCAGAATAGCAGAATTAGCTGGGACTGGTTACAGCAATTTTCATATACATTGGTGATTATTCGGTGATTAGAAGTCATATAGTGTGTCTCTTAGTTAATGTCTCCTTCCAGGTTTCTTTCAGCACATGTACTTTGTGTACAGTAGAAAGCCTTGCTTTCACATTCTCCACCTCTGCGAGATTGCTGGCAGGCTGCGTGGTGTCTTACATCCTTTACTTATCGCCCCAGCCTTGATCCTTGTTGGTCCTGCTGCATAATAGAGTCAAAAAAGAGTACACTGCCCCTCAATCTACTTGAGGGCACCTGAAATCTATAGTTGGTAATCCTGTTTAGAAACAGGATTACCAACTATAGATTTATAGGTGCCTATAGATCTATAGATGCCCTCAAGTAGATAGAGGGCACCTGAAATCTATAGTTGGTAATCCTGTTTAGAAACACTTTTTGTTATACTGGGTGAAATGGTCCTTCCATCCTGAGAGTAGTCAATACATGGGTGCAGATCTGATGACAAGTTTGGGGGACACACAATCAGTTGTGATTTTTTTTTTTAATTGCACGCTTGCAAATCATGCCTATAGAGCGCTTGAGATTGCCAGCATATTTCACGATTTCATAGAGGCTCATCACCATCACCAAGTCATTCAAAAAGCACTACAAAGAGAATCATATGCTTACCTTTACTGTTTATTTCTCTTAAACAGCCAGTAGTACATGGAACCAGCCATCACCCTCCTTTTCACTGCTTCGCTGTTAGTTAATGCTACTTCTAGTTTCAGGGTCTCAGGCACGTTATGTCCACTCATGTTCTCATCTCTCGCCTCTCACGGATTCCCATTTCTCCTCATCATCTTCCCTTTCTCCCAGTATATAGGACTACTGTATACATTTGTTCAATTTCAATCATTTAAGCTATTTAGAATTGGTGGGGACAATTTGTGTTTTTCAGAATTTGGGGGGGGCATGTCCCCCCCGTCCCCCCCGGGATCTGCACCCATGAGTCAATACATAATGTGTTCAGAAAAAGGAACGAAAAAAATCCGACCTCTGTGGCAGCTGAGGCCCTGCCTTTAGGTGCGAGTGGAAAGAACCAATCAGATGCCTTCATGTCTCGTCTTTATATATCGCTCTGGTCCTGCCCATGCCCCTCTCTGTCCCTCCCTCCTCCCTGCGTGCACTCATCATGTGTCACCGTTGCCGGAAATATTCAGCACACTCCTCAGCAGAAATACCGAGTTAGCAGGAGAATAAGTTTGCTGAACAGTGGCAGAGAAAATGCTGCCAGAAGTACCACTTCCAGCGTCACTTGTAACGGCTCGCCCCGCTAAACAGGCTAAGAAAAGAAAGTCGGAGGCAGAAAAGGCTGCGACGAAAAAGGCTTTGGATAAAGCGAGAGGACAAACCAGAGTCAACCAACATCGCAGCTTTTGAACGGTGGAGACAACTAGGGTTGGGTACCGAAACTCGGTACTTTTTGTACTTGGTACCTGAGGTGGAGGCGGAGCGAGAGCGCATGACTCGCACCTCAGACTCAGCAACAATGGCGACAAAAAAAATGTGCAGACAAAAGTTAACGTGCAGCACTGTTCCTAACTGTTCTCAATAAAATGTTGAAACTGAGAAGTTTAGACTATGGGCCTGAACGAAGCAGAGTGCGTCCAAATTCACACCCGTTCTTCTCTGTGGATTTTCTCCGCGACCATGCGTCATAGCGAGAAGCCACGCATGTGAAACAGCGGAACTGTAGCTTTCTGGCAGGGCCAAGTACTTGTCAGTAATCCAATGTTTTCACAGTGAAAAAAAAAGATAAATTTACACTAAAATTATGTATTACAGAGCTTTCATACAGCTCTGCACACACATTACTCTTGGATGGATTACTCGCGAACGCAGGCTCGCACAGAAATGCCATGCATATCATATGAAAGCGCAGGAACACACACATCATTGTGCTGTCATCCCATCACGCTATAAATCCAGATCAATTGTCTACAAAATAAAAACCTGATGAATTTCTTTACCATCCATTATACAGATCTTGTTATCAGTCACTTCATATAGTGAGGAATATCGTATCTTACCACATCTTAGGCTTGCGTGTGTTTCTCCCTGTCTATCCACATTTGTAGTCCAGCTTTCAAGATGCAAATATCTCCATATTGTCCAGTTGACACTCCATCAAACTTTGTATGACAAGACCAGCCACTTCACCTTTGCGCACCCAGACAACTGTAGCCTAATTATGCATGCTGACAGGGCAGTAGTCACCATATACATTGAGGGGGACATGTGCCCCCCCACCAATGCCCAAAATGTCTCCCCAATATATAACTGAAACTGAAAAACAAATATTATCTTGGAGGACATCATTGCACTTGGTTGTCTATTTTTCTGTCATCTTAGATGTAAATATTGCATGTTTCTTTTTTCAGATAAAACACATTTTTGACTTGTGAATGAGTCAATGGAATTTCTTGCAATAATGAAAAAATACTGGCAATCATGTCCGCCTGGCACAAACCACATGTTTTGGACAGCTGTGAAGTGACAGAATGTCCCAGCATCATGGTTCTTATATTGCCAGATTCCAGAGAGTCTCCCCTCTTCATATATGGCAGAATATGTCAACTTCCAACTTGCTATGGTGAGATACATGTAAAAATGTAAGAATTTAGTCACACAGATTTGTTTTTTTCATTGATATAAAAATTAATATAAAATACAGGCACATAGAAGGACATGAAATGATGGCAAATCTGGTTAGCCCAGATTGTCCTGAAAAAAACAAGATATAGCATGTGTATGTAGCCTTTATAATGACTGTGATATGAGCTTAAAAGTAAAGGCAGTAAAAATACCCTAAAAACGCCTAGGGCCCTAGGGTTAAAAAGTACTGAAATAAGGTACCGTTTGGTACCGGTACCGAATTCCAGATACCGGTACCGATACCATATCAGTTCAATTATGAACGGTACCCAACCCTAGAGACAACTGAGGGAGCTGAAGGGCCTGAAAAGTGATGGAGAGGTTGCTGTCTTTCTGTTAGACAGGTAATTATTTGTTTTGCTTCGGGGGGATCTGTTATTTTCATGGAATATGTAACGTTAGCCAACTTAGCTACTTTTGTAGCTCGTATTAGCCCAGTGCTAACATTAGGTTCTCTGTCGGTGTACTGCAGGATGCGCGTTCAAGTTTGTGGGGCCGTGGCTTTGGACAGAGCACTGATGGGAGGGGAAGGAGGGGGCGGAGCTTAGAGGAGGTGCCACTTTCAAATCTTGCTAGCTCTCCAACATTACCAACTATAGCTTGAAGAAAGATGACTACTACATTAGCTGGGCTCCGTGAGTCTTGTTGGGGAACCTGAAAATACTGCCCAGCTACCCTACTACATACGTATACACCATAGCCTTAAAACACATCAGTAGGCAAATCAGAATGAAGTATGTTATAACCACTGGATCTAACATCTGGAGCAGTTCCCAAATATTCACTCAACCAACCCATTACACTGGTTCCTGCAGAGCTAGATGGACTAAGAGTCTGTCAAATTCTCTCTTAATGCCTGAATTACAGTGGTCGTATTGTTGTCTGGGTCTGCGATCAAAGTGAAACCATTTGTTTTTGTTGATCCAAAGAGTCAGAGACAAATAAAGGTTCACAAGAGTGTCTCTCATTGACCCTCCTGCTGCTCCATCTGGTTGCAATGCTGCCAGTGGAAGGTCAGGTCAATGTACTTAAAGCTGTGAGTGATCACCCCTTTGATCACAACAAGAAAACTTGTGTTCTTCAGTCAAATCATGAAGCACGATGAAGGCAAGAATTATGTTGCATTATAACAGCTTGGAGTGTTTTTGAAAATATTTTTTTGGTTAATTGTTTGGCATGGTCTCTGTAAGCAAGGGTTGAATAAAACAGGGTACCCGCAGATCCTTGAAAAGTCTTAAAAAGTCTTAAATTCATGTATCTAAAAGTAAGGCCTGAAAATGTCTTAAATTCATTAGAAATGTCTTAAATTGGTCTTGAATTCATTACTCAAAGGTCTTAAAATTGTTGCGGAAGGAATATTTAATCTTACTTTCTTTCTTTTCTTTTTTTTATTCTCGCGGCACTTTTCTGTGAGTGTCCATGCACCGTCCAATAATGGCGTGCGCTGGCGGTAGCACATACACAATGAATGGGTTCGTCGGTGGAGGTCTGCGCTTTGCGCGCTCTGTGTGAAAAGGGCTTAACGGTGCACGCTGGCCACCTGGCACTCAATTATGCTGCTGTAGTGGTTTGTTTTCCAGACGTGAGTATCTTTGAGCAGTGAAAGTTATTATTTATGACTTTTTACTTGTCAGCAGTGATTTGTTTTCCACAGAGCTCTACGTGCGAGCATTTTACTCGCATTTGCGACTAAAAATAGTTTTGTGCCAGCAAAATAAATCATTCAGCACGCAGTGCGAGTCCAGATTTCAACCAGCAGCAGAAACGAACGGGGTGCATGCTGTGGCCGTGCTGCCTGCTCTCTCCGGTTTTACACCAGGCTCGGCTCCTTTCAAAGACTCCTTGCGAAGCACACCTCCGGGGTTTTTCGGACCTAATTATATTGCGGCGACCGGAACTTAGCTCTCAAACCACAAAAAGATGTGATGGCACAACAGTCTCCTTCAGAACATTATTCTATGCTTTCTTTTGATTTTCACATTGGCTAGTCATCCTGTTTAATATGTCTTCTGATTAAATCGGAACCGTTGAAACAAGTTGTAGGAAGCCTCTGCAAGTAATAGGTTGCTGGCAGACACTCAGTGATGCAATAAAAAGGTTAATAAGCAGTGACGTGCACTGTAGAGCCGATGCGCTGCTGGTTCTGCCGGCCTGAATAGAATATAATGTCTACTGTTGTGTAGGAGCATTTATAGACTGAGCTGAGTAGTGATGCGCGGGTCGACCCATAACCCGCGGGACCCGCAAATGGACCTGCGGGTCGGGCAGCAGTGATCGTCTGTTAAATCGGTCTGTAAATGATATTTTGACATTATCTTTATTATTATTATAATCTATTAATCTGTAATCTATTACTGTCATGGCATCCGAAGGTACTGATGCGTTGAGCAGGTGACAGTCCGCGGTCGTTTTCAAAACACACTTGTGTCACGCACTCCAAAAGAAACTTGTTGAAACTTTAAACAATAATTTATTGTACAAAACGGGGGAAACAAACGTTGACAAAAACGGTTCCATAACTCATATTAAATTCAAAACATAATGAAAAAACAGCTACAAGTTAGAAGGAATAGTGATAAAGTGGTAAAACTTGGCATTGATCCACAGCCTCAGACGGATGCGCTCAAGCTTGCCAGCTCAGTTGGTAGGCGATGCTATATTTTCACATTTTTAACAATGCAATTTAAAAGTTTTGATTTTTATTGATAACCTACATTTACCAACAACAAAAAGAATACATTTAGCACAAAAAAATATGTAAAAAAACCAAATTTTCATAACGAATACCTACCCATATCCGAATATTTGGGCACAGCCCTACCGGCAACAGAGAAAACCGACCCCATGTCCAGTAGCCTAATTTCCTTTTTGTTGGTGTCATGACTGCCCAGTAGTACCTGGACAACCGAGCCGTGGCGGCACACAGGTATGTGGCGTGTCAGAGGAGAAACGAGCCTTTCACATTTCTCTCTGTGGCAGGTAATGGTCCACAAACCTTACCGCACTTTAGGGACTGTTCTTAACTTATGAAGGGACTGTTCTTTACTTGTCAGGGGAGGAGGGTGGCTGGTTGATTTTTATTTTATTTATTTATTTTATTTCAATCCCCCCTATGTTAATCACTTATTGATGCTGTTTTTGAAGTATGAATAAGTCAGTAAGTAATTTATTCCATTGAAATATCATTGATGTATTATAGAAAAGTGATTTATCTTTTTATAAATGACAAAAGGCACATCTGCCTCATTTTTGCTGTGGTATCATGATACTACTCAGAACCGTACCGCATCGTACCGTGGGTTCCAATTTTGGTACCATGATAACACTAGATGTCACAACCATTCCATTAGGAGTTGCGCAGTGAAGCGGCTCTGGTGCCGCTTAAAAAAGTGTTCCCCCACTTCTAATTTTACAAATTGAGCACTGGTTATAGTACAGTGGGATCCCCCAACCATCCCTTATATTTATAGTTTTTTCGGTCTTAAATTCCATTCAAGGTGGCATTAAAAACGTCTTAAAAAGTCTTAAATTTAACTTACTGAAACCTGCAGATACCCTGTAAAAGAATGCTTCAGTATGTGCCATTTGTCCTGAATATCTCTACATCCAACTCGAATCCCTACTGAGTCCACCCTTCCAGTCGGATTAGGATTATCCTAATTTTTTAGCATCAAAACTATCCTAATCTCCACCTTTGTAGTTTTCAAATAACCCAAAACAACATTTGATGTGGATTTCTGGGTAAGATTGGATTTCAAATTCTGTATTGGAATACTGGGCCAAGGAGAATTAACATTAGTGATGGTAGTTTGACTTCACTGTTTTTCATTTGAGTAGATCAGTCACTAATTCCATCATGGTTGAACAGAAACAACAAAGTTTGCTGGAAATGAAGAAAGAAACGAATAGATAGATATTTAAGGTACTTCTCTTTTGGTAACTTTTGGATCCCTCTGCATGACTGTCCTAAGTGAATAAACACTAAATATACCTCCTTCTTCTTCTTCTTCTCTACTTTGTCCTCTCCTCCAGTGGGTATTCCAACAATAAAGTGGTGTGGGGCCGAGGGTGACTATAATGTGATGGTGATGGAGCTGCTGGGGCCCAGCCTGGAGGATCTGTTCAATTTCTGCTCTCGGAAGTTCAGCCTCAAGACGGTCCTGCTTTTGGCTGACCAGATGGTGAGAGCTGGGCGCTACCAGCTATAGGGATCATGGAGTTGCTGGCCTTATTAAAAGGGAAGGGGGTGGTTGGGTGGGTGTGGCTACCCCATGACATTACCAATTTGAGATTCATTACTCTGCCTTTTGGATTTGGGACATAATTTTTCATGTTTACCAACATTTTTGAACTGTCTTAGACCACTGGAATACCATGTATAAATTTTGAAAAAGTGGCGTAGTTCCCTTTTAAGGCTGACATCAGATCCCCTCGCACTTCTCTCTCTAGATCAGCCGCATTGAATACATCCACTCCAAGAACTTCATCCATAGAGACGTGAAGCCAGACAATTTCCTGATGGGGCTGGGCAAGAAGGGCAACCTGGTTTACATCATCGACTTCGGCCTGGCCAAAAAGTACCGAGATGCCCGCACACACCAGCACATCCCCTACCGTGAGAACAAGAACCTGACAGGCACCGCCCGCTACGCCTCTATAAACACACATCTGGGCATCGGTAAGACCAGCATCCACAAAGCACTAACATACAGATAGCCCGCACCAGGCTGCTGATGTGACTTTGGTCTCTCTGTCTACAGAACAGTCCAGACGGGATGACTTGGAGTCGCTGGGCTACGTCCTCATGTACTTCAACCTGGGCTCTCTGCCCTGGCAAGGCCTCAAAGCTGCTACTAAAAGGCAGAAGTATGAGCGCATCAGTGAGAAGAAAATGTCCACTCCCATTGAGGTCCTCTGCAAAGGCTATCCATGTAAGTGTAGCTGCTCCCTCCCGTCTTTTTATTAATTCCATATACGATGTGAAGAATCATGAATTAACGTTGATCAAAGTTAATCCCTCATTGCTCATATGTTCTGGTCCTTTTCCTGCCTACAGCGGAGTTTGCCACCTACCTGAACTTCTGCCGCTCTCTGCGGTTTGATGACAAGCCAGACTACTCATACCTCCGCCAGCTCTTCAGGAACCTCTTCCATAGACAGGGCTTCTCCTACGACTATGTCTTTGACTGGAACATGCTCAAATTTGTAAGTTGTACTATTACATTGAGGAGAATCGGTTTAGCCTTTGGCATCTCCAATAAAGCTTGCTGTTCAGCAAACAAATAATAACAGTATTTGGCTTCATTATTATTCTTATTATTGAGTCCAGGTTTGTTCATACTTAGCCCTCAAGACACCAACCTTGTGTAGGGAACGACTTGTGTTCATTTAAAGATCTGTACCTTGTAACTAGATGGAAACATTTTTATGGTCTTATCTTAAACTGCTCTCATAAGTTGGATTCACCAAACTCTTGTAACTGGATGAACTCATCATAAATCACTTGTACTGTGGAGAGAGACAGACTGTCTGTGCATGACTCATATGTCTGGACCACCTGTGAATTTCATTCATACCTGAGAGAAAATTCTAATTTAGATAAAGTCATTGCGGTTGTCTTAAATCACTTGTATGTGCCACTTCAGAACTAACCAGTGCTTTTTGCATGAGGCCTGTTGACATGGTGCTTTAGCCAGTGCCATGTTACACATTAAATCTCTTCGGGCTAGAAACTGACCTGAAGCTTTTCTTAAAGTAGCCCTTTTGATGAGCTTGCAGGCTCTCCTGGTGGCTTCTCCTTATCTTGTTTTCAAGTTTTTCAAAATGGACTGTTACTTGTGGAAATAAGTTTGTAAAAGCTGATGGATTCAGAAAGAGGCCACTGAGGTCAGATAACTGTGTCTGTGTCAGGGTGCCAACAGAGCAGTGGAGGATGCAGAGAGGGAGCGTCGGGAGCGGGAGGAGAGGCTGAGGCACAGCAGGAACCCCGGCGCCAGGGGCATGGCCTCAGCCTCGGGAAGAGCCAGGGCAGCTCAGGACGTCACAGCCCCCTCACCACTCAACCCTGCCTCACACACAGGTCAGCGTGCGCACACACACACACACACACACACAAGGGATGCAACGGCCCACAGTAAAATATTGAACCATTCGGTCTGCCCTGCATGGATCAATACGCCCTTATGGACGGCGGGTTTTCGGTTTTGCAATTAATTTTGCATTGATGCTTTACAGGCCACTGTGTGTGTGCCTGTCCACAGGCCGAGTCCATGGACGTGTAAAGAGAATGGACAAGTCAGCCCGCTGCACAAAAGCCCTCCCCGTGAGTTAATGTCCAATCACTGTTGTGGCTCCGCCCACTCACCCCCTCACACTGTTGTAACTGGAGCTGGGGAAAGTGACGCTCGCCTCACACAGAAAAGAAGCAGAAAAAACAAACATATAGAGCCATGGCAAAGGCAAGCGGAGGAGTTGGGGGGGGGGGGCGCATACCTTGTCCTTCTATTAAACAAACTAAATAGCCTTATGTTATTTATCTTATTTACACAACGGCATCTCATTTCTGTCTCTACATGGTCGCACGTTTACAATCCTCTCTCTGTGTCGCGAACGGCAGAGTTCGGCCCTGATGTAGGGCTGCACCTAACGATTATTTTCATTGTCGACTAATCTGTCGATTATTTCTTCGATTAGTCGACTAATCATTTTAGCAAAAAATGCTGAAAAATGTCGGTCTGTCTCTCCCAAACCCCCAAATTTTGTCATTTAATGTCTTGTTTCGTTCTCACGCCAAAGGGTTTTAATACACCGTCATGGGAGAGTGTGTAAAGCTGCCAATATTTCAACGTAAGAAGGTGCAATAAGAGTATTTTGGGGTACTTTTACAGTACTTTGCTATGAAAAATGACTCCGACTCCTTAGTCGACTACTAAAATAGTCACCGCAGAGTCCTGCACGGGTCCAATTTTGGAAACCCGCACCCGCCCCGCCCGTCAATAAAGGGACCTGTTACCCGACCCGCTACCCGTGATTATATCTAAATCTAATCCAGACCCGCCCCGCCCGTCAATAAAGACACCCGTTACCCGACCCGTTACCCGTCATTACATAAACAGCACAGACACACTTCACTCAAATTTAACTGCTCTATTTTTTACCTTTTATGATACAAGCTACAACACTCTGCAGCAGCAGTGCATCAGGTTATCTGGTAGAAACAATCACTGTCTGTGTCCTGGTTGCTGACGTATTGTCAATGCTATTGTTTAAGGAAAATAATTAACCGGTGTAACGAGATGATTAGCGACAGACTGATTCATAACCACAAGAAAATATCAGTGCAGCGGCATTGCCTATAAACATCTTCCGTTTTGAATCTTCAAAATAAAATCATGCACCAGTCCGTACAAGTGCATTGTGCATAAAGGAACAAAGAAAAACATATTCATTACAGCCAGACAGGTTTAGCTACAAGGCCACTACATTAAACAAAAACAGTTTAAAGTTAGCAGGAAAATATATATATTGTCCACTCCACACTAACAATGTTGAACATGAAGTTGAAATCATATGAACTAACACAAATAAACAGCAGGTAGCAAGTTACTACTCACAGTATGCTTTCCTGTCAGCTGCTGATGACATTTAATTATTGAGCCTGAGATTGCTGTGCAAGAAAAGGATATCATCCACTGTCTCTGGATTAAGCTGGGTTCTCCGTTCTTGAATGACAAATCCAGCAGTAGAAAAGTCTCTTTCACTCGCTGCGCTCGATGCTGGGATGGCAAGCACATTCCATGCAATTGGGGCAAGGTTAGGAAACGATTCGGCGTGCTCCCTCCACCAAGACAAAACATCAAAAGTGCCGTCCTTGTCCTTAGGTGTCTTGAGTTCGATGTAGGCTGCCACCTCATCCAGAGCCTGTATACTTTCGTTGCTAGAGTCCTCCACGTCTGCTAAATCATCAGCTCCTGGACGGGGTCTCTTCTCTGGTGGTGCAGCGGCAGCCACGGCCTGCGTCCGCGGGCCCGAGGGGCTTCCATGGTTGTGTTCTTCAAAATAATAAAAAACGAAAATGAAGAAAAATAAATAATAAGATCAGTGCTATTTTAAGAGGCAAACAAAATAGATTCAAACAGTTGAAGTGTTATGTTGAACGCCAAAACACACATTTAGTGAGCCAAGTTATTACTGTAGCTTATTAAAGTCGTATTTTATTACAGTTATTCTTACCAACAAGATGTCGTGCTTCGGCATGAATTCAAATAAACACAAGAAGTTTGTACTCTAGAAAAGGATCAGCACTCAGTGAATAACCTCCTAAGCCCTATGATAAGCTATTATGGCAAGGCTTAACTATACAGACCAGTGAGAAGTGATAACTAACATGTCTTTGGGGTCATTGGGTGGGAACCTCCTTTCACCAGTGTTTCGTCTAGTTGGTCCCACGACACCTCCAGGAGGCTAGACAGTGATCTCTGGCGTCCCAGAGACACTCCCCTAATGCCAGGTCTCACTGCTCCCCACATCAGCCCAATAACCTCCTTTACCTTACTTACGCATGGCTTTCTCAGCCCAAACAGCACCGCCACCTTCAACCAAACCCAGGCTCCGTACATGCGAGCTCCAGGTAGTAGCAATGCTGATACTACCTTTCCTAGCACATTCAACATACTCTATTTCACACGCTACATAGCATAACTACAATATAAGGTAAAGTTAAAGGAGATAAATAAACTTACAGGATCAGCAAACACACTCACCTTGCAGCATGGTCTCAAACAAAAGGGATTCAAATAGGCCACTCCCACACTTAAATAACCTTCCTCTTCCTGAATTTCCTCCTTACTTACGCATGGCTTTCTCAGCCCAAACAGCACTGCCACCTTCAACCAAACCCAGGCTCCATGCGAGCTCCAGGTAGAAGTAGTGCTGATACTACCTTTCCTAGCACATTCACCATACTCTATTTCACACGCTACATAGCATAACTACAATACAAGGTAAAGTTAAAGGAGATAGATAAACTCACAGGATCAGCAAACACACTCACCTTGCAGGATGGTCTCAAACAAAAGGGATTCAAATAGGCCACTCCCACACTTAAATAACCTTCCTCTTCCTGGATTTCCTCCTGAGAGGAAGTGGATCTCTCCACCTGATCTCAAGGAATTATGTACTCTGCTTAGTAGTTCCCCCTGCTGGTCCCCAGCTGACATTATTTCTACACTTCCAGATCCATTGGCTACACCTAATTGATTCATCTGAAATTTCCTTCACTGTCTTTCTCACTCTGTCCCCGCACTTCAAGTTCCCCCAGGAGCGAGACAGCTGATCTTTGCTTTCGGTCAGCTGCTTCCTCAGCTCTGGGATGAGTTTCTCTCGAATTTCTTCCGCACATTTTGTGAGTCTGCGTGACACAGTTGTTGGATCCGGCAGAAGTTTCACAGCGTGGACTCTGCCAGACTGTGTCCCGACGTCAACCAAGCCCTGTGCCAGCTCCTTGAACCCTTCTCCACATACAGTTTCAAACGACCTGACATCCAGAGACACACATTTCACCGCCAACTTGGTTATGGCGTCCTTGGCCGGCCGGTCTGGTGTTGAGAGCTCATTTTTGGGGCTTGAAGGCTAAAACTTTTTTGCACATTTTGCAGACGGCGTAGCCACTAACGACGTTACTCTCTTGGTCTTGAAGCAAACCAAACTTCTCCCAGACGTCCGACTTGGCCCTCGACGCTTTATTGTCCACAATTTCATATTCACCACTCACTAACTTTGATTTTATGTCGTCCATTTTGCTCAGCAGCTAACCGGCGCAGGCGGCTCAGTTAGAGCGACAGTGGCAGTAACATTGTTTATTTAGGCGGAACTAGTCAAGTGTCACTGCTTTTCACAATAAAATGATGAAAATAGTTACCTGCCACCCCGCCCATGTTAGTTAAGTTCCGCCCGTGCCAGTGCCCGTTAATTTATACAAGTATATTTCTTACCCGTCAGACACTGTTTTTGCGGGTAACCCGTCAGGTCACCGATTGATTATTTTGATAGTCAATTAGTCATCGATTAGTTGACTAATCGTTGCAGCCCTACCCCGATGCGCACACACACACACACACACACACACACACACACACACAGGTGAGCACACAAGAGCGCGGCCCGGGCACTTAACACACAGTCTATGGAGTGGAGCCTGTGTTGCGTTCAGGCGTTGGCACGTAAATAACAAATTCTAGCACTTGAATAGGCTGTAGCACAACACAGCAGCATGTCAAGTGCAAAGTCAAGCAAAAAAAGAGATAATTTTGGGGGGGAAAATTGTTCTCTTTAAGCACAAAACACGTACACACACACGCACATACATATTGTATCTATATGTATCTATATCTATATCTATCTTTTAAGAACAAAAGGCAAGCTAAAATCAACTGACAGATAAATTGTTGTTTTGTCTATTGTTACTTGATGTATAGTTTAGCGCGACAGTCAGGGCCTTTCCATCTACTGATTGGGAGCCTTCGATTTCTGGTACCTTTTTGTCTTTCAGGTATGGAGAAGGAGAGGAAGGTGAGCATGCGTCTTCATCGTGGGGCACCTGTGAACATCTCCTCTTCAGACCTGACGGGGCGCCAGGACACCTCCCGCATGTCTTCACAGGTAACACACTGCTTAGCCATGTATAAATGAAATGTACTGGGCTTTGGGTCAGCAGTAGAGCAAGAATAGATTCCCACTCATTCAGTAGGTAACGGGAATGAAGAAGAGCAAAAGTAGGGCTTTACATGGCACAACAGTAAATATTATAAACAATGAAATCTTTGCTCAATTGCCTGACAAAGATTGTCAAAAAATAACATATGTAACTAGAAAATGCAATACCTGCAGAAAATGCATTTGAATATTTAAAGTTAAAGACAATTGCAAAGCATTGCTGAAAATGCAGAAAAATGAAATTGCCCGAAAAAATGTTAAAGCCCAAATACATTGCACTGCACCACTGTAAAACAAAAGTTACAAATGTAACTACGGTTCTATGAATCCCGAATAACCGCTAGAGGCGGTGCTTTAAGCACTGAATATTCTCCTTCACGCATGCGCAGTTCGAGTATGTATACCAACAGTGTCACTTGTGACCCCTGGATGACCCGAAAGAGACTATATCTTCCAGTGACATCAGAGGATAATTTCCTACAGAATCTTCTCGCGAGAACACAAGGATTCTGAGTGATAGAGTGCTCTGGCGGTCATTCGGGATTCATAGAACCGCAGTTACATTCGTAACTTTTGTTCTATTTCATCCCTGCTGACCGCCAGAGGCGGTGCTTTAAGCACTGAATGACTTATACCAGCAAAGTCACAAGGAATCCAGATTACAAATCTCAATGAGTAGAATCGGAGGATTCTGGTGAAAGGACCACACCCAGTGGATGGGGAGTGGCAGCATTCACCCTGTAGAACCTGGAGAAAGTGTCTGGTGATGCCCATGAGGCAGCAGCACAAATGTCCTGCAAGGATACTCCTCTCAGGGAGATGTGGAGACACTCCTGGTAGAGTGGCACCTCACACCGGATGGCAGGGGACGGTTACTTGCCCCATATGCATTGCTGATGACATCCACAATCCAGTGTGACAGACGCTGTTTGGGAAGAGCGCAACCCTTGCTAGGGCCACCATAGCAGAGGAAGAGCTGTTCCGACTGTTCGAATGCCTGTGGTAGCTGCAATATATGCTCTTAGGGCCCGCACTGGGCACAACAGTTCCGACTTGTTACCCCTCTCTCCTGACGGAGGGTCAAACCATGCAAGCCTTATAGGCTGGTTGAGGTGCGAGCGTGACAGCATCTTAGGGAGGAACGCTGGGTTCGGCCACAGAGTGACCCGTGATCCATCTGAGTTCCACCTCAGACATGAGTCACTGACAGACAGAGCATGCAGCTCACTGACACGCTTCGCTGAGGGAATGGCCAGGAGGAATGCGGCCTTAAATGGCACCCACTTCAGCTCTGCCTGTGCCAAGGGTTCAAAGGGAGGCCTGCATAGCGCATCCAGCACCAGGGGAAGATCCAATGTTGGGGGTCTCGTGGCTCTTGGAGGAAACACCCTCCGAGCCCCCTTCAGGAAGAGGGACACCTGACTGTGGCTCCCCACTGTGCCGTTGTCGACCCTAGCATGTCGACACGATATGGCCACCACATACATCTTCAAAGCAGAAGGAGAGCGGCCATTGTCTAAGAAGGACTGCAGGAATTCAAGGATTGTAAGCACAGAGCAATGCATTGGGTCTTCACTCCGACCCATACACCAGTTGGAAAATAGCTTCCATCTGTTGTCGTACTGTAAACGAGTGGATGGTGCTCTGGCATTCATTATGGTATGCCTGACGGGATCCACACAGCTGCTCAGCAGCGGTTCAGGCCGTCCAACAGCTACACACACAGTTGGAGGCGTTGGGGATTGGGATGCCAGATCCGACCCCCTAGCTGGGACAGGAGATCTCTCCTGTTGGGGAGGCGCCACGGCGTGCCACGATAGAGTCTGTGCAGCAGAGGAAACCATGTCCTCCCCGGCCAGAAGGGGGCCACCAGCAGAATCCTGTGACCCTCCTGAAGAACTCTCTGAAGTACTGGCTGAAGCAGTGGGAAGGCATATAGAAGAACCTCTGGCCAAGGATGAGCCAGAGCATCCTGGCCTAGAGGGCTGGTCGTCTCTGCCAAGGAGAACCACCGAGGGCAGTGGGTCGATGCCTCTGAGGTGAAGAGGTCCACCTCTGCTCTGCCAAAGACGCTCCAGATGGTGTGCACCACCTGTGGGTGGAGGCACCACTCCCCTGATGGAGGCTTTTTTCCCCTTATGGAGGCCACTCCCCTGATGGAGGCTTTTGAGTGACTGCAAGGTGATTCTGCTCTCCCGGTAGATATATTGCCCATAGGCTGATCAAGCGGGGGCTGCCCAGGTCAGGAGATCCTGTGACAACTGCAGCAGCCATGCAGACTTGGCCCCACCCTGATGGTTGATATGATATACGGTCGAGGTGTTGTCTGACTGTATGAGGACATGCTTGCCTCTCAGGTACGGCAGGAAGTGCTTGAGAGCTAGGTGCACCGCTCGTAACTCCAGCACATTAATGTGTTCGGCACGGTCATCCACAGACCACCGTCCGTGAGCCGTCCTGCTCTGCCACACTGCACCCCATCCCGAGGGGCAGGCATTTGTAGTGACAGTCTCCCTGCGAGATGGAATGGAGCCCATAGGGACACCCCTTGTCATGTAGGCCACGGGACCAGGGCGAGGAGACACTGCTGCAACACCTTGAGCTTCCTGTCCCTGTGCCGCCCGGCAGTGGAAGCTGTTCACCCGCCTCTGCAGGGGGTGCAGTGATAGCAAGCCCAGCAGAGCAACAGCTGAAACGGATGTTAGTTTGCTCAAAAGCCGAAGAAACCTGACCAAGGGCAACAGATGTCCCCTTTGGAATAGGGGAAGAGGGTGCAGGATGTTGGCCACACGGTGGGGGGGATGGACAAGCTGTCATAGTTACAGTGTTCAATTCTACACCAATGAAAATTGTAGTCTGAGATGGTTCCTGACAACTCTTCTCCATATTTACCTTGAGGCCTAGGTGGACCACGTGGGACAGGAGACGCTCTGTATCTTGGGACACCTGAAGCCCCCCTGAAGCATGAGCAGCCCAGTAATTGAGCTGCTGATGGGAGAAATACCCGATAGCCAGCCCCAAGGCCTCAGTTCCTGGCCCCCCGGCCCCTGGGGGTCCTGGAAGGGGGGTGGACAGGATCCAGGGCTTGAGGTTGCTTGGAGGGCAGGCGGGCAGAGTCCCGGAAGTCACGGGCTGGCTTCTGCACAGGACGCTGAGACTCAAGATGGCCACTGGAGTGAGCTGGTGGTGGTAAGCAAGCTCGGGAGGCAGCCGTGAAGCCTCTAGGTCTGCTGGGGAGAGGCATACATCGAAGACCTGCAAGCTGCTGCCTGGTCTGCCCAGCCTGGATGGTTCGCTCCAGCGCTTCCTGCGCCACTGGACCAAATATCTCTCCTGGCTCCACAGTGAGACTACGGAGAGTTCTTCTAGACGCTTCCGTCAAATTCGATTGTGAAAGCCAGACTTGGCGACAAGTTTGAATTATGATCGACATCATCCGTCCGATTTCCTTGGACAGAAGGCCGAATGCCTCTAGTGACACATCAAAAAGTCATGGCATCTGCATTCACATTGCCCCCCTGCAGAGAAGCTGAGAGGGCGAGCATTAGGTGTGATAGGGAGTTGCCTATGCGACTGGCCCGTGCTCCAGCATCATAAGCCCATGTGAGAAGGTCATCCATGATCCGACACTGAGGTCGAGGGCACCTAGCATCCCGTTGCAGAGCCTCATCAGGGGAAACGATGAGGGATGCGATGGTAGGCTCGATAGCTGGCATGCAATCCAGGCCCACTCTTGCTGCGTCGTGCATAGCTGCCAGGGTTTGACCGTCAACAGAGAGACGGGAGCAAATTTTTGTGTCCCTCCAACAGGCCTGTAATTCCTTCAGGTAGTCCTCAGAGTGGGGAACAGCAAAGGCAGTGGAGGCCGGCCTGCGCCTGAAGAAGGCACTTGCAGGACCTGAGTCCGTCTGTTGTGGTATATCAGTGTGTAGGCGATCTAGGGCCATGCGCATGATATCGAGCATGGAGCCGTCTTCCTTTTCAGCCAGTGAGCTCTGCGCTGAGGAGTGGGAGCCCGGCTCTGAGGCCTGGGAGACCCCACCCCCTATATCTTCCCGATAATCATGGAAGCGAGTAGCCGAAGCTGCCAGGGAGAGCGCATCATCCTCTGGAACCAGTTCTAGCATTGGAGGAGTGAGCACCTCATCCTCCGAAGGGACAGCAGGCTTGCGGGCCCTAAGCATGGACCTCATCTGAGCCAACTCAGCAGACAGCTGATCCACCTTTGATGAAAGTCTGCCGTGGCCAGACTTTGTCTTTTTTCTGGAGGGCGCAGCTGCAGTGGCCTCAGCCCAACACTTAGAATGTCGATGTTGGGGTGGAGACATTTGACCTGATGGGGGAGGTCACCGTCACCCTCTGGGTGTTCCAGCTCTGCCAGTCTGGCAGCCTTCACTGCCCGGGGCATGTAGCTGCAGTTCATACAAGGATTTTCAGAGAGTGCCTCCTTCAGGTGCTCCGGTCCAAGGCACATAGGGCAGAGATCATGGCCATCATCTGGCTGCAGAAGAGCCCCACAGCAAGTGCAGTAATGGGGGTTATCCATCATGGTGGCACTGGAGGAACACTGCCACACCGGCTAATGCGCACCTGTCCAAGCTGCAGATAACCTGAGCACGAACACTGCGGTTAGCTGGAGTACAGAAACCGTAAGCTGGAGGGAAGGAGCGCGTACGCTACCTATACCAGCAGAGGCGAAATCCCAAGAGAGTGTAGAGAAAAAACACTGCAGATAACCTGAGCGCGAACGCTGCAGTTAGCTGGTTAACTTGGAGTACAGAAACTGTATGCTGGAGGGAGGAAGCGCATACGCTGCCTATACCAGCAGAGGGTTAATACACAATATAACCACAGAAAATCGCCTGCTGTAAATCATTATATACATATATATATGTGTAT